AGATCCTAACGACTAAGTCCAAGACAGACTCGTCGAAGGCTCGTCACACTGCGAGAGATGGTGTAAATGGCTCGACTCAGGCGCCAAACAGCACAGGCGAGTCCAACACAATAGCTATCAAGGGCTAAACCAACAGTCTGAAGCACAGATCAAACGTGTGTATTGTGTGTGTGTTGTGGCCGCGAGTCCAACACAACAGCACAGGATGAGTTTTACTCTTAATAAGTCCAACATGTGTATTATGGGGGTTATTAAATAAACAGTTGTAGTACCCTTTGAGGACTTACCTACGTGAGAGGAACCGTGATGGCCGCGGTTGGGGGGGCATAGCTGACCCCTAGAAACTCTCATGAGTCAGTTTTTTATGAGCATGGCCTTTAACGCTCAACCAGCTTAGCTCAATAGATAAAAACATATTGTGTGTGTTTTTATCAATACCTAATCCAAAGGGCCTAATTCAAGGCCTAGTCCATTATGTCCCTCAGGTGGCGATGAACTCACTAAGGAAAGGTTCAAAGCCGAAAGCTACCTCTCCCGAATTCACGATACGAAAGGTTGCCCAACCTATATTTGACTTTTTTTGGCCCGCTTTTTCGACAACGACACGGAGGTGTCTATGGCCACCCTCCTCGTCAAAAAGCAACGGAAGTCAAAGTCGGTCAACGACTTCGTGAAGAGGTTCAGGAACCGATCGGTCCACTGTCGTGATCAAGTTTTCGAATCCACGCTGATTGAGATGTGCCGCAATAATCTCTCAATCCATATTTTGTCCAAGGTTGGCGTGGTGGAAACCCGGACCTGGAAAGAACTTGTTCGTCAAGGCGAGCAAGTGGAAAATATTATCAAAGTCGCTCACATCGCGGCAGATAATCCTGTTATGTTAACTGTCACCTCTAACAAAATCAACTTATCAATCCCTTCCCATGGGATGATAAGTCCTCATAGTTACTCCGATCGCAACAAAACTCCATCAAGTTAATGATCACCTCTGATGACTAGCGCCGTTATTCCCACGAGTAACACAGTCTAAGTAGTAACCTACCATGCGATGTGTTACTACTTCGGTCAATAGTCACACTCCAACGTCCCTGAACTACCTGACCTATTCCGGATATCCTAAACTTCTATTAGAATAACCGATGGGTAGTAGCCTACCACGCGACGGCTCCTACAGCAATCGATCGTCACATTCCTACATCCCTGAACGATTCGATTACCATATGTGTCGTCCTCACAGATGGCGATAATTATCAAGGGCGGCTCGACAAGCGACATGTCCAACTGTTCCCCCAGATAGCAACTCGCCGAACGGCAAGTCATAGTTAGGGTCTTCAGCTGGTCGCATGCACGAGCAACTGCTCCTTGTTTCAAGCTAAGTGTTACCCTCTCGGTTCTACTTGAGCTGTAACGTGAAAGTCGGAGTTAACCCGACCCCACGCTGTGAACAACCAAAAGCAAAAGGAGATCCTAACGACTAAGTCCAAGACAGACTCGTCGAAGGCTCGTCACGATGCGAGAGATGGTGTAAATGGCTCGACTCAGGCGCCAAACAGCACAGGCGAGTCCAACACAATAGCTATCAAGGGCTAAACCAACAGTCTGAAGCACAGATCAAACGTGTGTATTGTGTGTGTGTTGTGGCCGCGAGTCCAACACAACAGCACAGGATGAGTTTTACTCTTAATAAGTCCAACATGTGTATTATGGGGGTTATTAAATAAACAGTTGTAGTACCCTTTGAGGACTTACCTACGTGAGAGGAACCGTGATGGCCGCGGTTGGGGGGGCATAGCTGACCCCTAGAAACTCTCATGAGTCAGTTTTTTATGAGCATGGCCTTTAACGCTCAACCAGCTTAGCTCAATAGATAAAAACATATTGTGTGTGTTTTTATCAATACCTAATCCAAAGGGCCTAATTCAAGGCCTAGTCCATTATGTCCCTCAGGTGGCGATGAACTCACTAAGGAAAGGTTCAAAGCCGAAAGCTACATCTCCCAAATTCACGATACGAAAGGTTGCCCAACCTATATTTATTTTGTGATTTATTGATTTATTATTTTTGAATTTTCAGTCAATATTACCTTTTGGGGGGGACTATTGGATGTTTTGTTCATGAAAAGGCAATTTTGCCTTTGTTAATAATCCCATATTGGAAAATGAGATGAATAGTATAGGGTATATAATGGTTCTCTCCTTATTAGGCTTTGAATAGTGTTTTGGATCTTGTGGGCTTTGCATATCTGTCCCACACACGCGCGCTCGTGCACGCATGCCACGCCTCGCCCGCACGCGCGCGCCACGCTGCACATATTTTTTGCTTCTCAAGCTTTTATTTTTGTACGTTTTACATGTTTTGTAACGGCTGCATGCGGGTAACGGAAGAAAGATTTGTGTGTAACGGTCCCTTGGATTCAGCGGGGGTTACTCTTCTCCTCACCTATATAAGCAGGCGTGGAGCTCATTCAGAGACACACCAACAAAGAGAAGAACAACTTCTAAGCTCTCTTCTTTCTCTACTCTCATTTCTCCTAGAAATTTTGGCTACATATTTATATTTATATTTTGGGCAATCATTTTCGTCTGAGCATAAGCTCTGTGACTCACGCCCGAGTGCAGAGACCGGCCGATTCTGGGGTTTTTTACCGCTAGGGGAGAGGGGACAAATTGCGCCAGGGCGATAGGCGGATGCTCAATCTTCTAGGGCAGTGACATCACGACTGCTCCCGATCAGGCCTGAATTTTCTAACTCTTTAATTTGAATTTTATATTATTATATTCCTGTTTTGACAGCATAATTCAATTTTTATTCAGAGGATATATAGGTATTTAGTGATTGCATGTAAAGACCTTAAATCTATTGAAGAATAGATTAGTGGTCACTAGTGCTACAACATACCTTGGCTAACAAATTAAGATGGGAACTAAAATTTTAAATGAACAAAAGAACCAAGTGAAAGACAATATAAATAGAGAAAATTTGTATCTGTTATTTTGTGAGTGGGAGAAAAAAATTGAACTACATAATGGGTAGTAGAGATGAAAAAAGAAATCGCTTAACTTCTCCCTTTATGTGTAAAAGAAATTTGTGATTTACCATCAACCTTGCATCTAGAAAATAGTGCCATGTATCATTTCTTTAATTTGAATTTGAAAATTTGGAATAAAGCCATCCGCATACACATTAAGTGAGATAGTATTTTCTTTCATTCTTTTCTTTTTAGAATATTAAAAAAGAGGGATATTATAAAGGAGTGATTGATGGTTAATCCACCTATTTAAATTTTAAAGTTTGATATAAAAGTATCCATGTCCTTATTTTATGTGTTTTTTATAAGAAAGAAAAAACATCGGCTCAAGTGATCTACTTTTGAAGGAGTAGCAATCCAAAGAAAAAAAAATTCAATATAATTCAAATTTTAGAAGCAAGGCCATAACAAATAACTCATAGAAAATAAAAAAATCAGATATACAAACCCATGAAATCAAATCAACCTGTGCGAGCACGGGCATAACGCTTATGAATTATTATAGAATTTATAATGTATAAAAATGTACGTGGTTCAAAAGCATAACATCATGTCTTTAATAAACAGGGGATCACATTTAAGTGAATATTTAACAATCAGATGACTCGAATAAACTTCTACTTAAATTCTATTTGTTTATTACCCGAATACTAAGAGTTTTGTATTTTATGTTTAATGAACTATGGAATTGAATAGTTAGATGAATATTAGTGAACTATTTGTTAATTTGTTCAGTTTCACCTTGCTCTCTGGTACATGTTAATGCAATTTATCGTATTTTATCGTTACAACAGGTCGAGTTTACATGGCACGACATCACTTTGTGACGGTGTATTGGTTGTACTAATCAAATGCATGGATTAAGAGAGTCACTTAGGGCTTTTAAAGCGATAATTCTTTTTTGGGTTTTTTCATGTATACCCTTTACATTATAGGTATTTATAAAATTTTCCTCCAAATCTTTTTAATTATATATTTACGCTTCAAAATTTTCTGTTCTCTCAATTTTACCCATACCTTGGGTTAAATCACCTCTATAGCCCTATTGTAATTATTTTTAAAGAAAAATTAGCAAAATAAAACCAAATAAGTTATAAGTAGTAAACCAAACCCGTTAGAAACTCCATTATCCAATCCTCGCATTATCAAAGAAAATATAAACCATAGAAACACAAAACAAATCTTATCCAGATTCCTCTTGAGGCTATGTTGCTACAACTCCTTGATCCTTTTATCCATAAATGTCTTTGTAACTCCATGATCGATGATGAAACCCGATAAATTAAAATTGAAGATTTGTGAGGTGATACAAGAATTCACGAGAGGACCGCGACCAAGGATGATTTAGCTTTGGGAGGATCACGCTTCCCTATTGATCTTCCTGGCCATTACGAACCTGAAAACAGAATTGAAGAAGATTGCAGGATAGATTGAAAGAAGAATGAGATAGAATGAGGAAGAATTAGAACTGAGGTTGAGTTTGAGAAGAGAAAAATCAATGGTATTTCATTCGTTGATTCAGATTACAACCTCTTATTTATACAAGCTCTCTTCATAACAAGGAAAGAAAGAAAACAGGAAACGTGCACAAAACGTGCACACAATTTAAAAGCTCAACAGAAACAGTAACTAAAATAGTTTTAACTGTTTTAACTGCCTAACTAACTTTGACAACTGTTACAAGCCACTACATTGTATAATAGCCCAGGTATTGTGCAATAATTCAAAGTCTCTTGTCTCAATCCAAGATAACACCAGGTCCCCGTCTTTGGCATTCTTCAGCTTCCTCACCAATTGTCCGGCCATTTAGAGTGATCACCTCTAGCACCTGACAATTCCCTTCCCCTTAAATTAGACCTTGTCTCAAGGTCAAATGTAGGAAATCTCTTGACAAGATCCCAGTAATTCTCCCAAGTAGAATCCAAAGAGGAACGCTGCTTCCACTTTATCAATACCTGAGATATCAATTTTTTTATTTGACAATTGATCGCCTGTCAACAATCTCTTCCTGTTCATCCACCAACTCTATAACATAATTGGTAAAATCATTCTGAAGTATAATATCAGAACCTATCCTTTTTTTGAACTGAGAAATATGGAAGACTGGATGAATCTGTGCATGGGCTGGAAGATCCAATCTGTAGGCAACCTCCCCAATTTTTTCCAAGACCTGATAAGGCCCATAGTATTTTGGAGAAAGTTTATGAGTCTTGTAAGAAGAAACACAAAGTTTCCTGTAGGGCTGAAGCTTAAGGAAGACCATATCACCAACCTCAAAGTCTCTGTGACTCCTATGTTTGTCAGGAAATTTTTTCATTTGTGCACTTGCTTTCTTCAAACTATCCTTTATAAATTGTACGACTATATCCTTAGAAAAAAGAGCTTCATCCACAGATTCCACTTTACAACTCTTAGGAATATAAGAGAGCAAGGAGGGAGGAGGTCTACCATACACAGCCTCAAAGGGTGTAGTGTTAGTAGAGACCTTCCATGTAGTGTTATACCAAAATTCAGCAAGGGGAAACCATTTACCCCATTCTGTAGGTTTATGGCAACAAAAACTCCTTAAGTAACCTTCCAAATTCTTGTTAATCACCTCAGTTTGGCCATCAGTCTGAGGGTGATATGCTGAACTAAACTTCAGCTGACTCTCTTACAATTTGAACATTTCTTTCCAAAACAAACTGGTGAACACAAGATCCCTGTCACTGACTATGGATCTAGGCATTCCATGGAGCTTGAACACCTCTTCAAAAAACACCTTAGCCACAGATTGAGCAGTATAAGGGTGAGATAGAGAAAAGAAATGAGCATATTTTTAAAAGCCTATCAACCACCACAAATATCACTGATTGTGTACCACTTTTGGGCAAATTAGTGATGAAATCCATTGAAAAATCTTCCCATACATAATCTGGAATAGGCAGGGGTTGTAAGAGTCCTAGTGATGCTACATTCTCCCCTTTTGTTCTTTGGCAAACATCACAAGCTTGAATATACTTCTGGACATCACCTTTCATCCCTTTCCAGTAGAAAACCCTCCTCAATCTATGCAATGTCCTGGTAATTCCAGAATGACCCGTAGTTGGACTATCATGATGCTCTTGAATTAGTGTGTTTTTTAATTCTTGTGCATTAGGACTAACAAAAATTTTGCCTCTTTAGTAATAAATTCCTTCCTTCTTAGCCACCTCCTCAATTACAGGTTGCCTTTGTTTTAATTTTGCCTCCAATTCTTTTAAAAAAAAATTCACTAGCACACATGTGCTTGATATCCTCTATCCAATTACTTTTGATAGTAGATATAGCTGAGATTCCTATGTCACTTTCATGAATCCTTGATAATCCATCCGCAGCTTTATTCAACCTGCCAGGTTTATATTCCATAGTGTAATCATACCCATTCAATTTAGCCAGCCCTTTGTTTTGAATACTTGTATGTATTCTTTGCTCAAGAAGATATTTAAAGCTTTAGTGATCAGTTCAAATCACAAAATTCCTTCCCAACAAGTATTGCTGCCACCTCTTAGTAGATAGGATTATAGCTAGTAGCTCCTTTTCATACGTAGATAATGTGGCATTCTTCCCCTTCAAAGCAAATCTGAAATAAGCAATAGGTCTCTCTCTTTGCATCAACACAGCTCCAACACCATTGCCAGATGCATCACATTCTATCACAATTGTAATATTGAAATCAGACATAGCTAAAACTAGGGCATTAGTGAGGGAAAGTTTAAGACTTTTGAAAGCATCCTCAGCATGTATATTCCAGGTGAAATTTCTCTTCTTCAACAGCTGTGTTAGGGGCTATGCCATAGTTCCAAATCCTTTGATAAACTTCATGTAATACCCTGCTAGGCCCAAAAAAACCTTCAACCCCTTGAGTGTGTGAGGTGTTGGCCACTCTACAATTGCCTGAATTTTATTTGGATCCATTCTAACCCCCTGTTTGTGATACAATATGACCCAGAAATTTTACTTGCTTCTGTCCAAAGCTATATTTTGACATTTTTACAACAAATTGGTGGGTTTTCATGACCTGGAACACTTGCCTCAAATGAGTTAAATGTTCCTGCCACCCTCTGCTGCACACTAAAATATCATAAAAAAAACCAAGACATATTTCCTGAGAGCCTAAAATGTTGAAGGGGCATTGGTGAGACCAAATGGCATAACTAAGAATTCAAAATGCCCACTATGTGTTCTGAAGATAGTTTTTGGAATGTCAGAATCACACATTCTAATTTGATGATACCCTGATTTAAGGTCCAATTTATAGTGAAAAACTTGGTTCCATGCAACTCATCCAATAGCTTATCAATAACTGGAATAGGAAATTTGTCCTTGATTGTAGCTTTATTGAGGGATCTGTAATCTATACACATCATCCAACTTCCATCAATTTTTTTACCATCACTACTGGTGAAGATAAAGGGCCATGACTAGGTCTAATAATTCCCTTTTTTAACATTTCTTCAATCTGTTTTTCTATCTCTTGCTTCAAGAAGTGTGCATGTCTGTAAGGCCTGATACAAACTGGCTTGGTTCCAGCTTCTAAGGGAATTTGATGATCAATTTCTCTGGTAGGAGGAAGATGTGGCAGCTCTTGGAAGATAACATCAAATTCTTGTATCAACTTGTGCATGCCATCAGGTAATCCTTCAAGATTAGTCCCTGTAGTAGATTCCTGTAAGCTAACGCTGCATAACTGAATTAGGTATCATTCTTCTTGCTCACTAACAGATTTAGCAATGTTTTTCATTGACAAGCTGCAATTCCCCTGAAATTATTCCCTGTAATGTTCTCTTGATTCTACCACATATGAATGTCGCCTGTAGTTTCTTAAAGTTTAGGGTAATATCTTCTAAGGTTTTCATCCAATCTGCCCCTAACACAATTTGACTACCCCCCATAGGCATCACCAACAAGTTTACTTAGATGCTCACTCCCTGACAGTCTAGTGTTACCCCTTAGCACACCCCAGCTCCTTTGATGAGTTCTCCACTGGCCACAAGAACATCAAAATTGTTGTATTCCGTCACAAATTGCCCTCGTCTCTTGACCAATTTGGCATTGATAAAATTGTGAGTGGAACCAGAATCTATTAAGATATTGATATCTTGGTTTTTGTAATATCCCACAACTCTAATTGTATGAGAAGCTGAGATTCCACTAAGAGATTGTACTGAAATGGATGGGGCTCTCTTTACCAAACTTTCAGCCAGTTCAATGGCTAAATCTTCTTGTTCATCCCTACTAACATCACCTTTCTCTTCCTCAACTGAACCTCCTTCAATGATGCCCTCCAGAATGAATAGATGTTTTCCCTTGCACTGATGCCCTATGTGCCATTTTTCATCACATGTAAAACAAAGATTCTGACTCCTTCTTTTTTGTATTTCCTCGGGGGTAAGTTTCTTGAATTAACAAGAAGATTTAGGCTTTTCTTGTACAATATTTTCATGAGAGGGATGTTTCCAAGGACTTCCTTGATTAAAAGCATTCCAATTCCCTCTAACTTTCTTCTCATTTCTTTGTTTGTCCTCAAACAACTTAGCCAAAGACACTGCTCCCTATTGCATAATGAGTTGACATGAGTTGGCATGGCCAACTTATTATGCAATAGGGAGGGGACACCTCACCTGTCCCCTCCCTTGGTCCCATATTTTGGGTCCTTAAATCATTTTCCATTTTATAATCCCAAAACTTTTGGTCATATTCCACGAACCCCCTAAACTTTATTTTTCCGCAAAACCCTTCAACTTTAATACTGTCAGTCTTGAGTACCCATACTCTTAGTTACAATTGTAGAGATCTATGTAATTACGGCTCTTAAACCATAAAAGCATCCTTCAATTGAATGAATTGGATGCAGAGGGAACCATCTTGGAAAATTAATATAAGATTTTATAATTTCCTAATATTAGAATCAAGATTCAATAGAAAATACATGAGATCAGAAATTCTTAAAGAAGGGGGAAATAAAATGAATCCGGAGCTTCTACCTTGACGTGTCCCAAGGAAAAAGAAGTTGGGGGGTTTGGTGGGAAAAGTTGGAAGGTTTATTAGGAAAAATAAAGCTCAAGGAGGTCTCCCTGGAATTAATGATCCACAACTTTGGGGCGTTTTGCGAAGATTGCCCTAAATGAGATACTTTATTAGCTCTTTCATGCGTGGGCTCTTGGTATAATAGGTTATCATGCACATCACCTTCATGAACTATAACATAATACCCAAATTCACATATGAAAATTGAAATGAGCTTTTAGTCCATAGATGGATAAAGTTTGAAATCATAGTTGTTGGCTTCTTGACATTTCAACCTATTGATATGCATGATGTTCCGAATAATGTAAAAGTTCATTCTTAATATAGCTTGGACAAGAAGAATATTGAGTAACACAATGCATTGACCCAAGATTAAAATTGGCAATATGCAAAGCATTAAGCAAAGAGAAGAAAAAGGGAAGAATAATAGCTAGATTGCCATACAATTAGGTCTTTCTTCCTCTTCAAACTCGTACAAGAGATCTACATTGCAATGTTTTCATTAAAGGTTTTGCATATGTGAGTATTTAATTATTAGGAAATTCTAATTAGTTTCCAAAGGAAAAAATTAATCTCCATTATGTAGATGATCATGAAATAATTATCAGAAGTACAAAGTTCAATCCCTTAAATCTCAAAACAATGAAGATTACCACCCTGAAGCCTAGCTTACTAGAACAATAGTCGAGAATGAGGAACTGCTGATGTAATTTCCCGGCTTAATTGCACTTAAACAGCGTATAATTTCCCCTACTTTGCTCTTATACACCATCACTTGTTTTTTGGTAGCACTTATATAATCTAAAGTTTTAAAAATTTAAGCTTAAACAATCTCAGTTATTCAAATATGAGAAATCCCCTCTAAATTTTTCATGCGGAACTCACATGCTAATTTTAGAATTTTTTTACCTTTTAGTTTTTGTTAAATTTATTGTTAGAACTACCATAATTCTACTTTAAATTAAACTACATAAATCCTAATTTAAAATAGGGTTCGGATGAAATTTAACAGCAAATGTAATAAATATTAAAAGTTAAAATGTTCTAAAATTGGCATGTGTGTGTCACATTAGAACTTCTGGGAGAAAATTTTTCATGTTTGCATAAGTGATGGTATTATAATGTAAATTTTAAATTTTTTATGATATATAAGTGATGCGAAAAACAATTGGTGGTAAATAAGTGTGGGGTAGTTAACGGTAATTATCGATGTGAATCAGACCTCCTTTTTGCCCAATATATGACTTGAAACTATTATAATATCAATTCAATATTGTTGAACCTAGCAAAATGAAAATAAGTAGCTTCTTTGAGATAAACCCTACGGAAATCTTTCATATTTTGATATTGTTCTCTCAAAATTTTTTATTTGATACGTATCCGCCACAATTGGCAAAGAGATTTACGCATGAAACATACCATTAGGGTTAGGTAGAACTAATTATGATCCTCCTTGTTTCTCCTTTTTGTCCTTACTACATCTTTTACTCACCATATAGTACAAAGAAGTGATATCTTTCTTAACAAGGTTTTTCTAACAGGTGCTCAAGGGCAGTTGTTACGAGATGAGATAGATAAAAAATAAATTGCAAGTAGGTTTCTCCTGATTTGCACTAATTTATTTTCTTACTTCTGCTCTCTATATCTCTCTCATCTCTAACGAGTGCTCATAGATACCCATTAGAAAAATCTTTCGTAAAATGTTTAGTGGTATATATTGAGCTTTTTTTTCATCTCTTAAACATTGTATGCAGCTATAACCAACCAATTAAGAGGATTTTTCAGGTAGACGTAAAGGGAATCAATAAAAATACAAAGAGTTGAGATGATAAAATATCTCAAAAACCCAATAAATATCCCTTTTCTCTTTTGAGATATATAAGTCACCCCAGACAATATTTAATTTGAAGTCCTTTCCCATTTGTTTTGTATTTTTGCCTTATTATTTAACTGTAGTACCCAAGGTTTACCCATTTTCGAATTTTGCATTTCAAGATATTTTTTTTCAACACTTTTAATACCCCAAAATTTTAATTCTATTTTCCTTTGTCCTCCATATTTCATTACATTTACCATTAAATTTGTAGTTTAGATCTATTTTACTCGGTTGTTACTTAGTTATCAGGGATCGATCTAAACAATCAAATGTTAACATCAGACTCGGGCATCACATGCCTAGCAAACGATATAAATTTAATAGAAAATCTAACAAAATCTAGCAAAATCTAGATAGAGTTATCAAAGTGAAATTGGATTGAATTTTTTTGCCATTAAACTGCTGAAAAACTGTGGAATACCAAAGTGAAAAATAAGCCTATATTTTAAGATGTAGAGCGTAAAATTTAATACATCGAAAATATGTACGTGAACTTTATAGCGAAGCATATATCAATTGTTTTTGTAAAGTAATGTCCAAGAAGAACTCAGAAGGGAATAAAATGGCCTAACACATACAAAATAGTACTGGAAAATTAAAGATGCTCTACTGAAATCACTCCCAATTGAATCCTATCGCTTATGGTATCAATGTACGAAGCCTAGGAGACATTGCATGATCACGGCCAGTATAGGCTATAATCACTAGAACTTTTGGAAAAATGTAGCTATCTGAGCTCTACAACTTCGGACAGAATCTACAACTTCAGACAGAACACGACATGTGAAGACAGGAGAAAATGAAGATGCTACGCTCATCAGATGTCACATGTTATATATTATTATAAGTTTTGGGCATCAAACACTTCACCTTTGATCTTGTGTCGGCATATGGACATAACAATCGATTTTTTTATTGTTGTTGGCATTCTTCTCAGTTGTTCAATAAGACAAACCCTCTGTAACAAATTCATTCTTCGTCCCAAGGATCCTTGAAGCAGCCCATTTCAATCTCACTTAGTTGTACAAAGAGACGGGGCTACTTTATTCATATGGTCATTGGAGACAACGCCTAGTCTCTTCTAGTATAGCTTTCTAAAATAAAAATTATAACTAAAGATACTATAATATCTTATTATTTTCCAAGAGATTACTAAATAGAATGACTATATTATTATCTTGAATATTTGTGAAATCTTTTAACCTAAAAAATATAACGACTCCGCTGGGGCTGGGGATTTTCTTCTCCTCTAACAAGAAAGTCATGTCGCGGTATGATAATATAGCACCTAGGACAACTATCAAAATCATCACTGCGGAGATGGACTATGCCGTTTAAAAGGTTTACTTATGGAGCAATCAAGGGAGCCCAAGCGAGCGCGAAAGACCTCCACGGCACTGAGCACTCATGCCTAGTTATGGTCAAGGATTCTGCTATCACCATGACCATCACGTCCCCATCCAAGGCTAAGCAAAAATCCTCCTAAACGGTTGATGACTTGACCTCTAAGTTTGACAATATAATGCGTTGCTCATCTCGGTACTTGAAGCAGAAGTAGGTACTTGCGAACTCTAACCGTCACATGGACATCCAACTCAGCGAGAACACATCATAAGCCCTCGCGGAGTTTTAGGCGAAGCTAGAAGCATGTTCTACTCAGATAACCATCTAAACTTATCACCTCCCGCTTCCCAAAATACCAGGGAATCGAAACGTGAACAAGCCCGCGACGTATTAGATTAAGGAGAATAAATAAAAATAAATATTTCACCTCAACCTAATACGCTAAGCGTTTGGAAATAAATACAATGTAAGGCATAGGTCCCCGATCACGATAGCGAGAATATAATGGACAAACTCAAAACAAAATAATACATATCACAAATGAATATTATCCAAGACATATTATTCGGGTCAACATGTCCTTATACATATCTAAACAAATGAATACTGAAGAGGTACAAAGATACATCGATCAAGCGGGAATGGAAAGTACTACAAAAGTAAACTGCAACCATCAGCTAATAAATAACATGACTAGGCTTCGACTCCTTCTGCTCCGTCTACAAGGTACTCCTGCTGAGAATCCTTTAGCTCTTGCTGAATCTGTTCTTCCCCTAAGTCTGACGTACACCAGAGAAAACAGATGTACGTCAGCGTGCATGGCACACTGAAAGATCCCACAAAACAAATAGAACAACGAAAACCAAAGCGAAAAACGATACGATAACAGAATAACAAAAGAAACGTACAACTGGAAATCCAAAAATCAACATGAAAATCTACTACTAAAATATAATTGTTGGCCTTCTTGTTTTGATGATGTTTAACAAACAATTTACCACTAATGTTGTTTGTCTAGTATTTGTGTTTTCTTATTTATTGTAGACAAACAACGTAGTTGGAGGATGGATGGA